GACCCCTGGTTTACAGAATATGTTTTTAAATCACTTTAATCCAAACAAACAAACTTGAAACTTGATACAACCACGATTAAAGTAAGTACTAAATAATTTTAAACATTTGAATTATCTAAATAAATGAGTTAAACCGATTAGAAGTACCGCAGCCGACGGAACAGCCTGCAGCAGCGGGAGGCGGGGCTTTGAGAGAAACCGGAACTAACTCTGACCTCTGATTGGACGAAATGTTGAATTTGGAACAAATCAAATCCTCTCATTGGCTGWGTGCTTTCGAGGTTAGCGCGAGCCGGAAGAAAACCCATAGATGGACACAAGCAGCACCGTCCATTGGACCGGAAACTGCGCTTAGGACAGAGAAGAATGATGTGTGATAATAAGCTCTTCTTTTGTAAAGTCTTTCTGGGTTCAGAGACATTATTTAATTTATACAAAACCGGTAAAAAGAAAAGGACGTTCGCCCGAACAGGGACTTGAACCCTGGACCCTCAGATTAAAAGTCTGATGCTCTACCGACTGAGCTATCCGGGCTCTGCAGGTATGAACATATATGTACTGTCCTCAATCTTTTACTGTATTTCACCTGTAATCTACTACAGGTCCTTATTTTTGTTCTGTACAATAGTCCAAAACCATTCATTCATTCATTCATTCATTCATTCATTCATTCATTCATTCATTCATTCATTCATTCATTCATTTCACCCACAGCTGTCTCTTCACTTAATTTCCTTCTGCACAGAAACCAGGATCCCCTTAAAGTAAATGTGACTGATATTTTTTATTCCACAAACAGAATTAAAATTATCTGAACAAGTTTTAACTTAAAGTATTTTATATCCACAATTATTATTCTGATTCTTTTAATTTGATCCGTGTTTTTTTATTGTTACTATCTTTAATTCTATTATTATTGCTACAGTTGATAATGTCACAATATAATGTTTCTGTGGATTGATGTACCTGCTGCTGCAGTGACACCTGAACTTCCCCACGCGACACAATAAAGACTGTTTCTATTCTATTCTATTCTATTCTATTCTATTCTATTCTATTCTATTCTATTCTATTCTATCACAGAGCCAAAAATACTACACAGTTGTAGTTTCTACTCTATTCAATCAGAGAGGTCAAAAATAAAAAGCTGTATAGGCCCCAGCGAGATTTGAACTCGCGACCCCTGGTTTACAAGACCAGTGCTCTAACCCCTGAGCTATGGAGCCCATGTTATCGTGCTATGTGACATTATTCCCACAAATCCTTAAAAATACCTCACAATGTGGTGAAATATTGAGTGATATATTGTTTATTACACTGTGGTTTTAAATTAATGATAATAAATAAATAAAGAAACTTATAAAACCAATTTTAAAACATTTAAGTTCCAAYTGCGTGCTAAGCCTCAGACGTCCACCAGGGGGCAGCAGTGCGTCACTCTTCAGGCGCTGTGCGGCAATCAGCGCAATAATCAATGGGACAATATGTTTTTAATCCAGTTACTCGTTTTATTTTTTTAATGATTGAGAAACTGGTTTACAGTAAGTCAGAAGTTTTGCAAAGTGGCAAATAAATCCCTGAAAAATGAATATAACTGGTTGGTTTTGTCGCTCGGTTTGTCTGTGGGTGGATTTCTAGGCGTGGTGAGGGGCAGGTTTGGGGCTGTTGCCCCTCTTCAGGTCCAGGGTTTGTTTGCTAAGACAAAGTGAACATGGACGCGACAGGACAGCGCTTATCTTCTAATCCACAGGGATTATTTCTCTCTAATTGATTGTGTTTTTCATATAATTAAAAAAGAAGGGTTTGTCTGTGTGTGTGTGTGTTGGGGGTAGAACAGGGGGCACGGAGCCATGGTGGAACCGGAGGGGTGAGATCTAATCCCGGATCCAGTTCATGAAGGAGTTGGTTAAAGTTTGTTCCAGAAGTCTTGGACTGGGAGGCGGGACGCAKAAGTCCCATAACAGGTGAGTGGCTCATTAACAGCTCGTTCAGGTGATTAAAAACCGGCCCGGTTCTTGTTTACCTCCCTCCTCTGGGGTTGTCTCCCCCCTCCCTCCTCCCCCGGCGGGTTCCGGACCGGTTCAACCTGTKTTTGAAACGGGTTACAGGAATCTGTAAAACATTTCTGTTTGCTGCGCCCCAAACTGCCCCGGTGGAGGGCGTTATTTTTATTTTGTTTTATTTAATTTACTTAAATCAGACCGGTTGTTGGTGCGCTCGGACCCGGCTGAGCAGCTTGACGGCAGCGCGGAGGTTTCCTCTCAAGAGAGGGGAAAAAAGGCTGACTTTTAACGACTTGTCTCCGGAGACCGAGCGGGAAGACACGGAGCACCAGGCCGGCTGTTGGACCGTCGCATCGCGGTGGGAAAGCGGCTGTAGCAGAGCGGGGSACCGTGGTTTCCTTCGCCCGGCGGCCATGCGAGGAGCTCGGGTCTTTGTGGAGGAATGTGCCGCCTGCCCCCGGCGTTAGCTGCGGCTCCATGTAAGCGGGGCTTTGTGTTAGCTTTACGCTCCAGTCGGCCTTTTATCAAACCAGGAGCTTAAAGCTTAAATATATAATATTAAAACTGATAAAMGGGAATAAATGTGTTCTCCAGCCGTGTGCGGCTAGCCTCCTGCTTCCAGGCGGTGTTTAGGACAACCAACCCCGCTTCTSGCTTCATCTTCCAGGCTCCAGTGTCCCCCCGGTGGGGTCTTAAATGTTTATTTTTCCTCTCCAGGGCCACCAGTAACAACATGCTCCTGGCCTCCGCCGTGGTGGTGTGGGAATGGCTGAACGAACACGGCCGGTGGCGGCCTTACAGCCCCGCCGTCTCCCACCAGATAGAGGCGGCCATCCGGAGCAGCGACCCCCGCGGAGGGAGCGTGGTCCTCGGCCAGGTCGACAGCAGGCTCTCGCCCTACATCATAGACCTCCAGTCCATGCACCAGTTCCGGCAGGACACAGGTGAGGACCGGTGCTGCACGTGAAGCTCCGTCAGATGAATAAAACCTGACTTTATTCCTGTTTTTAATCATAAATTAAACATTTGATCCAATCACAGCTGAAGAAACATTCTTTAGTTAGTGAAGCTGCAAGAAGTTTGTTTTTAARCTGCTGTGATTCTGACAGCTGAAAGTACTGAAACTGGTGTTAAAGCTAACAAAGAGCTAACTAGAAGTTAAAAGAAGCTGAACATTAGCTGTTGGCTAAAAGAGGCTAAGCACTAGCTGAAAGAAGCTGAACTCTACCTTGAAGGTAAAAGAAGCTAAACACTAGCTTGGAAGCTGAAAAGCTGAAGATTAACTTAAAGTGAACACTAGCTGGAAGCTAAATATGCTGAAAAGTATCTGTAAGCTGAATATTAGCTGAAAGCTAAGAAGAGCTGAACTCTGGCTGAATGCTAAAGAAGCTGAACACAGTAGCTAGAAGATGAATTCTAGCCTGAAGCTGAAAGAAGCTGAACTCTACCTTGAAGCTAAAAGAAGCTAAACACTAGCTAGAAGCTAAAAGAAGCTAAACACTAGCTAGAAGCTAAAAGAAGCTAAACACTAGCTAGAAGCTAAAA